AATGAGCTAGAGCTAATGACGTCAGAAACTACCCACTCCATTTTTTTCACACTTTTCCTGCTGATAGGCCCTCCACAGTCCCAAATGTACACAATCAAATGATAAAAACTTGGTTTAGCATAATATGTCCCCTTTAGAATAATAACATTTCCACATTTCCACATTTCCACGGTTCCTGGTTTCTTCCTCTGGACGTTATTCTTAAGAAGCAAAAGCTTCCAGATGTGGTGGATCATTAACAATGTTACTGACTGGACTCTCTCCCTTTACCCTAGTCCTCTCTCCTATCACTTTCGGGATCTGTGGTTGGGAGTTTCCTACTGTCCCTGTGTTCCTACTCTGCATAGTCTTATTACTATCATAACTCCTATCATTATCATTAGTCTCAATATCATTGCCATTGTTCATCCAGTCCATCTCCTGCCCTCTCTGTCACGGTTCTGCTCGAGGATTCTGCCTCTTAATGTCACCTCTGGGGGAATTTTGGTTTTTTTTTGTCCTGTTTCCATGGTTGTCTTGTGATTTCCTGTCTTATTTTGAAAGGTTCATCCCCTTGTTTCAGGTCTCCCCTGTGTGTCACATGTCTGCTTGTCTTCCTGACCCCCTATTGTGTTCCCTTCCCTCATGTGTTATGCCTCGTAAGAGGGTTTTGATTTGGTACTTTGTTCACAGTCTTGTCTGCCTTGTTTTGAACTTTGTCTTGTCACTCCTTTTGAGAGCGTTTTTTGTTCAATAAAACAGAGGCTCGTCAAGAGAGAACCAAACGGTTCCTGGTTCTTCCCCTGGACGTTATTCTTAAGAAGCAAAAGCTTCCAGATGTGGTGGATCTTTAACGATGTTACTGAATGGACTCTCTCCCTTTACCCTAGTCCTCTCTCCTATCACTTTCTGGATCTGTGGTTGGGAGTTTCCTGCTGTCCCCGTGTTCCTGCTCTGCTACTACTCTGCATAGTCTTATTGCTATGCTAACTGCTATCATCATCTTTAGTCTCAATATTATACCCTATTTCAACAAGTTAAGCTAGCTCCCTGGTGTCCTAATGTAATGTCTGTGACAAGCTTTGGTCAGAATCCCATAAGGATGAAGCCCAATAGCAGTTCAGTCCCCCTGCCTAACCCTAACCCTAACCCTAACCCTAACCCAAAACAGCCCCGTTCAGAGCGCTCGCTTTGGAGTGCCTGTCTCTTTAAATGCAAATGAGACACAGGCAATCCGCCCACT